AAAAAAAAAAAAAAAAAAAAAAAAAAAAGCCCTGCGGATTGATCCAGGCGATATTTTTGGGTAAATACAATCACGTGAGGGCGGCAGCCAATGGAACAGTGGGAAAGGCTGAAAAAATAATTACCTGCCCTGATTGTTCTATGAGCAGATAAAAAGTACACATACAGTTCATACAATAATCTTATGAATGTAAAAGAGGGGGGAACCATGTCGGCTTCTGGCCCCATAAGCAACTACTATGTTGACTCCCTGATAAGCCACGAGAACGAAGAGCTCTTGGCCTCCAGGTTCCCCGGCTCTGCCGCCCACCCGGCTGCCGCCCGACCGTCAGGATTAGTCCCGGACTGTGCCGACTTTCCGTCCTGCAGTTTCGCCCCCAAGCCGGCCGTTTTCACCACCTCCTGGGCTCCCGTGCACTCCCAGTCCTCCGTGGGCTACCACCCCTACGCTCCCCAGGCGCCCGTGGGGGCCGAGCCCAGGTACATGCGGACTTGGCTGGAGCCCCTGGCCGGGGCCGTCTCGTTCCCGGCCTTCGCCCCCGGGGCTCGCCCCTACGGCCTGAAGCCCGACGCGTTCCCGGGGCGCCGGGACTGCGGCCCCGCCGACGGCCGCGGCTACGCGGACTACATGTACGGGGCTGCCGGGGAGCTGAGAGACAGAGCCGCGCAGACAATTCCTTCCCCGGAGTCCGAAGCCATCGCTTCCAGCAAACACAAAGAAGAAAAGCACGAATTAGACCCTAGTAAGTCGAAGTCATTCTTGTTTACGACCGGGGAAGGCATTACGGCTTCCAGGACCCTACTCAATAAAATGAAATTACCTTAGAGAGCCCGACCCTAAAACTCCAGATACGCAGGAAGATCTGGGGGTTTGAGCGAGTCCGCCTAGCAGAGCCGGAGAGCGAATCTCTCTACTTTGTTTCGGGCTCTTTAGGATTTTTTTCTTTATTTTCCCCCTTTTTTTTCCCCCCCTTCCTTTTTTTTTTTTTTTTTTTTTTTTTTTTTGTTTTCCTTTTTTTTTGTTGTTTCCAGTGGGGGGGCTGTTGGCTGCTTTGATCAAATATTCATCACCTTCCACCGGGGGGAATTAAAAAAAAAAAAAAGAAAAAAACAACAACTAATAGAGAAAGAGAGTGCGTGTGTGAGAGGGAGCGAGAGGGGGTAGGCAGAGGGAGAAGCCTCTTTGCTTTAAAATATTTCCACTTTCAAAGGGCGAGGAAGAGTTGTAGGTGGCTGGAAGTGAACGTACTGATGTGGGGGTGTTTTTTTTCAGGGAGGGGAAGGGAACATCTCTGGATGAACGCAGAGGTGTCTCTTTATCTATTTTAAAAATCAATAAAAGCTCCACCGGCGCAGTTATTCATAAAATGCTCCCACACGTGGGAATAAAGGAGAAGGTGGGTGCCCTGGGCGGGGGGCCGGGGGTGGGGGTGCAGGGGAGTAGCAAGGAGGAAAATTGGAATTGTAAAGGCATAAACTGAGTGTGGGGAGGCAGCTGAGGGCAGGAGGCAGCGAGCGCAGGACATTGGACCATACACTTGAAGAAACATCTTCTGCAGCCCCAGCGAGAGAGGGAGGGGTGGAACTAAAAAAAAAAAAAAAAAAATGCCAAAAAGACCCCCCCAAAATCCCCGACCCGGCCATCAGGGAAACCTTGACCACTGCAGGGCGAGGAGTCAGGTAGCGGCCACCAGCACCCCCCTCGCCCTCGCCCTGCAGCCCCCCAGCCCCGCCGAGGGGACCTGCGGGAAAGGAGGTCCGAAAAACCGCGGCCGAGCCCCCCCCTTTTCCTGGCCGAAGGCTCCCGGAGAGGAGCTGAGCAGCCACGGGGGATGCCGCGGGAGCCGCCGGCGCGTCCCGCACAACCCGCAGCCCCGGGCGGGCTCCGCCGGGACCCCCCGGCCTAAAGCCGCGGGGGGATCGCCGAGCTCGGCGGGCGCGGGACGGCCCCGGCAGCACCTCTGCTGCCTCCAGAGCTCGCTCCTCTCCCTCCGCCAAGGCACTGCCGCCTCTATTTATGACGGCAGGGCCGGTGCCAGGCACCCTCGTGATGAAAATAAGTCGAGGAACCGGGGGGTGAAAAGTCTCCCTTGGCCGCCCCGAGAAGGGCAGAGGGGGGAAAAGCTGCTCCCCCTGAGCCAGCGGGGCCGCGGCAGCAGCGCGGAAGGTCCTTTAGGGTAGGGGGGAAGCTCCAAAAAAAACCCCACCGCCTCAAAAAAAGCCAATTGCTCGGAGCCAGGGGGACATCTCGCGTGTCATCCGTAAGATATTAAAAAAACAAACTCCGCTTTCCAGGTCTGGGAAAGCTTCTGGGGGGAAGTATTGGAGAGCCGAGGTTGTAAAAAGAGTTTATGGGCCTATGAAATGGTGGGAATTTTGACTTTTTATGACTATGTTCTTAGATTACTGCTAGCAGCAGTCATGTGGATAATTATTATTTTAAACCCATTGCTAGAGTTTTATTTACCGAAACTTTTATGTGAGAACAGCAGCAAAAGAAAAGGAAATGACCCCTCCAGAATAAACAGATTAAACTCTCCTGAAGGTCACTTAAAATATTTAGGTAAGATCTGCTAATTAAACAGGTTTCTGTCTATAGATACACCAGGGCGTGGAGGGGGGGAGGGAAGAAAGGCCAGCTGTATACATTGATTTTTTTTTCCCCCTCTTCCTAAAGATACTTATTTCTTAAAGCAGGACGAGATGTGCCTGTGCCCCACAGTCCTCTCAGCTGCTGAGCAGCCTGACGAGGAGACAGCGCTGCAAAAGATGACAAAAGCCCCTTTGCTTTTAGGCTCCGAGCTTCTCCCCCCCCCCTTCCCCTCCCCTCCCCAGCTCCTTCCTCCGGGTGGGGATCCCACCTCCACCGCACTTCTCCCCTCTCCCCTTCTCACCGATATTCAATTTAATGTATCCATTAGAGGCTGGAGGCTGCAGGAGGAAAAGGACAGAGATAAATTACGTCAAGAAATAGTTCCTGGACTACCTTCCACAATTACCTTCCACCTTCTCTTAAGCAGCAGGGTAAATGTCCCCCCCTCCCAGCCCGCGGGCTGAGCATCCCCCGGCCGCGGAGAGCAGCCGAGCATCCCTCCTCCCCATCTCCGCCCCATTGCCAGCGCTTTTAGGAAAAGCCGGGCGGCGTTATTAGATTAAGGGGAAAGAAGGAAAAAAAAAAAAAAAAAAGGGAAAAAAAAAAAAAAAAAAAAAAAAAAAAAAAGGGGGGGAAAAAAAAAAAAAAAAAAAAAAAAAAAAAAAGG